AAAAAAAAAAAAAAAAAAAGAACCTTCTTTTTCATTCCCTTCCTCTCAACCAAATCCATTTTTGCATTATATATCCATCTCTTCAATTCCAGTATTCTTCCCGTTATTTGATTTCTTATGGCCTTGTTTTCACTTTTTTGTCTGTAATTTCGTTTTCTTATCTGCATATCTCTGAAAACCCCTCCTCCATGCCCGATAAAATTGCCACCGATCCAGGTGCCAAAGTTGTTGAGAACCTAGTTGATCGGATTTTGAATTTTATTTTAAATCCAATCACTGCTCGAATCACTGTTGTGCGCAAGTGCAACGAGAATGTTGAGAATCTGAAGAGCGAAATTGAGAGGCTGAAGGATGAAAAGAAGCTGGTGGAGAACTATAAGGCTGATGTTGGCAGAAAAGGAGAAGTGATTGATGACACGGTGCAGACTTGGCTGACTAAAGCAGAAGAATTCATTGAAGCGGCAGAGGAACGTGTAGGAGTTGGTGATGAATTTGCCAAGAAGGAGTGTTTCTTTCGGCTGTGTCCCAATTCCATTCCTCGTTACAAGCTCAGCAAGGAAGCAGAGAAGAGTTCCAGTGATATTGTTCGACATCTGGAACAAGCTCGTGGATTCGGCCCCCTACCACTTTCCCACGCTCCTCCTCCACAACGGGTCGTGGCGAGTGTTTCCTATGCTCCACCTTCACAACAAGACGTGGCAGCACTTGTGGAAGGTTTTGAGGAGTTCCGCTCTAGAATGGATGTTTTGAAGCAGATTATGGAGGCAGTAAGAAATCCAATCGTCAACAAGATCGGAGTGTATGGGACTTCTGGCGTGGGGAAGACGATGCTTGTAAAAATGGTTAAAGGAAAAGCCAAGCAAGATAGCTTGTTTACCGTGGTAGTTATGGCCACAGTGACAAAGGATCGGGACTTGAAAAGTATTCAAGAAGACATCGCACGCGACTTGGGTATGGATCGGATTTCTTTCAGAGAGGATACAGATCGACAAGTCGCAGATTTAATAAAGGCAAAGCTGATGGAAGAGCGGAAATTTCTTGTTATTTTGGATGATGTATGGGATACTGAAATAGATTTCAAGAAATTCGGGATCCCTTCTGCAAGTGAGATGAAGCAGGCTATGGAGAAAAAGAGGGAAGAAAGCTCATCTCGACAAGAAGATATGCTCTGCAAGATTCTTCTAACCTCTAGATTTCACAATGTTCTCTCTGGTATGATGGGTGAGAAAGATCAGGTCTTTGAGGTACATAAATTACGAGATGATGAAGCATGGCATCTATTCAAGAAGGTTGTTGGTAGCAATGTTGAAAGCTCTAATTTTCAACCGACAGCTAAAAAGATAGTTGAGAAATGTATCGGGTTGCCCGTTGCTATTGTATCTGTTGGAGAGGCCATGAAAGGGAAGGCTCAACAATTTGAGTGGGACGATGCTCTTGCAGAATTAAAAAGGCCTTCTTCAGACGGGATATCTGCAGCTGTTTATAAGCCCATAGAGTTGAATTACAATAACTTGAAAGAAGGAAAGCTCAAGCAAATATTCATTCTTTGTAGTTTGTTGAGCCGTAACTCTTCAATCGACGACTTGTTAAAATGTGGCATGGGCTTGGATTTATTTCAGGTGAACACAATAGAAGAGACAAGAGCCAAAGTACTAAGATTGGTTAGTCATCTCAAAAGGTCATCTTTGTTAGTTGATGGTAACAGCAGTTTGCAGTTTGATTTGCACGATCAGATTCGAGAGGTTGCCTTGTCAATTGCTTTTAGAGACCGCATTGGGTTAGCTTTAGTAGATGATGTTGCAAGGAGAAAGTTGCAAGATAGGAAGGCATTAGAAAAATTGAAGTGGATTTCTTTGTCAAATGGTGATATTGAGCTTCCAGCCAATGGGTTGCAATGTCCACAGCTCACTTTCTTTAATTTGTCTAACAAGGCTCAGTCTCAAGCAGTTCCATTAGAGTTTTTTAGAGAAGCAGATGGACTCGAAGTCTTGTGTTTGACTAAAATTGACTTTAAGTCAACGCCTTCGTCAATTCCCTTTATCCCAATGAACCTTCATTCTTTACTTCTGGATCAATGTGTGTTTAAAGTCGAAGACCTTGGAGCCATTGTGGGGAATTTGGAGAATTTAGAGGTCCTTAGCCTTGCAGGATGTTATATTGAACAGTTGCCAAGAGAAATGGAGAAGCTAACCAAGCTAAAGTTGTTAGATGTGAGTGACTGCACCAATCTGAAACTAATTCCACGACAAGTCTTGGCAAGATTGTCTAAATTGGAAGAGCTAAAAATGGGAAACAGCTTTGACCAATGGGATGGTGTGGAGGGAGGAAATGCTGGGCTTGCTGAGTTAGCAGAGTTGCGTATGCTCACAGCATTAGAGGTACGCATTCCTAATTTCCAAGAAACTTTGTTCCTTGAAAATTTGGAAAGGTTCAAGATTTTCATAGGAATAGTGAGCAATCCTTGGCCCCGTTGGGACCCTAGGCACAATTACTCTTGGCACAGTTACTCCTGGAGCAGCTCTTTTGAAAGCTCAAAAATGATGAAGCTAAAGCTGAAGGGTGCAAGCATTAAATCTAATGACTCAGTTAAGAAGTTGTTGAAGAAGACAGAAGAACTGTATCTAGAGGGATTAAATGGTGTCGAGAGTTTACTTGAGGAGTTAGATGATGAAGGTTTTCAACATCTGAAGTGTCTCCATGTCCAAAATGCTCCAGACATTCGACACATCTTTAACCCAGCAGGGAGGTTGCTTCCTTCCCGTGCATTTCCCATCTTGGAGGTATTGACTCTTTTTAATTTGGAAAATATGGAGAAGATATGTCATGGTCTGACTGGAGCAGCACCTTTTAAAGTATTAAGAAAGATAACTGTTTATGGTTGTCATCAATCGAAGAATCTGTTCTCCTTCTCCATGGCCGGACAGCTTCCACTTCAAGAAATAACAGTAAGAGATTGCAGCAACATTGAAGAGATTATTGATGACGTGGAGGAGCAAGGCAACGGAAATGATATCGTTGAAGAAAGTGAAGTATGTAAGCTTGGTGGCAGTCTGCGGTCCTTAACATTAGATAATCTGCCAAAACTGATTAGCTTCTTCAACAGTGGTAATTGCAGCGGCATCTCACTTTTCAACGATAAGGTACTTAATTCATTTCCTTTATTTTATTTCATTTTTTGTTTCTTTGCGGAAGAGTAATTAGAAAATATAAAAAATTAATCTCACTGTCCTTTTTTTTTTTTTTAATGGAGATTAACTAGGTTTCAAGTTTGGGCTAGGTTCAATAGCAATCCAATAGTTTTTAGCGTTTTACATTTTTATAAAATTTTGCTTGTTTTGAGGAAAAATTAAAGAGATTATCCTTCCATTCTCTTACTGTCCTTTTTTTTTTTTTTCTTATGGAGATTAACTAGGTTTCAAGTTTGGGCTAGGTTCAATGGCAATCCAATAGTTTTAGCGTTTTAC